AGAAATTGTCAGAGACCCTAGATATTAGCTTCAGGGGGAGGTACTCACTTGCTTGGTCCAGGAAACTTCTTCAGCTAAGTCAGGCAAGAAGTCAACAGCAAAAAGCCATTAAGGACCTGGCTGGCGGGTAGACTAGGCACCAGAGAAGAGCCATCTCCCCTGTGGGTCAGATCCTGCTTCATGCCAGCTGTTGACTTCAGTAGAGTTCCTTGAACCAGAATAGGAGACTGGACCCAGGCCCAGTGATTTCAGACCCAGGCCTCAACAGGGAAATGCCGCCCTATAATCAAGGGATGTATTTGGTAGCCGTGTTGGTCTGAGACAAAAAGAAATGCAAAACTCTAGAACTTATAATCAAGGCCCTTGGGGAGAAGATCAGAAAAGGGTTAATAGGCAGGAGAAAACTGTAGCCCCACTGCTGTACTGAGGTTTGCGTGAGAGGCAGGAAGGGTTCATGGGGACCTCCCCTGGGGTCGGGGCGGGGGGTCCCCTCTGCATGGGGCTCATTCCAGGATCAGAGTCTGTCTTATGTGACTCCATGGCAGGCCCAGTTCCTTTAGGTGCAGTCACCCTGTCATTCCCCCAGGTTTCCACATGCAGTCACATGTCTGGAGGCGCTCATTTTTATCAGCAACCTGATTTCGAAGACGTGCCTACATTTGGGGCTGGGTCTAGGTGTACATCAGCCTAGCTCCCCTGACACCAGTCTCTGCCAGACATAGGGATGGAGTCAGAGGCAGGAAGACCCTTCTGGGTACAGATGGGAGCCAGTCTCTGTGCATTGAGCCATAGATAGTATCCCAAAGCGGGGGTCTGTTTCCATTCTCTTCGATGAGCATGGCCCCTTGGAGCCCCGCTGCCGCGCTGTTTATCAATAACATAGTGATAAATAAGCATTGTGAAGCTGTTCATTGACCATAATAACAACTTGATCGACTTCCTTAACTTATGAACAATACTACATACCCGTATGTGCCAGCGGGTGACGCACTCTGTATTAATGAACTATCTCCCAGCTCAGTGACCTGCATTATCTTCATCAAATCACTTCCCTGTTCTCACCTCTGCTCCCCTACCCCCCATCCTTAACATGTGCTCACTAGGGTGCTTGGCAAACACCAATTAAATGCTAATTCATATTATTATTTATCAACGTCTTGGTATTAGCGGGCATTTTCTGAACAGAAGGTGCTCCTGTAGGCAAGAAGAAATGTATCCCTCTATTTATCCTCTGCCATATATATTGCTGTACCACATACTATTTTCCATGATTAAAGACACAGATGAAAGATCCTGATTGGGGATAAAATATTTGTTAGCATAAAAAAAGCCCAAGCTGAAAGCTCCGTTGCAGCTCAGACAGGAGCCGTCATTTCCAGCAGGACTCTGGAAACAAGGCCCCATTGGGGAGATCATCGAGACAAAGTTTGTTGAAACTGGAGACAACAAATAGCCATTGTGGTTTCTGGTTCAGGCCACTGGCCTTCTTTCTGCTCCCTGTGATGTTGATGGGAGAGGCAGCGGGGTGTGAAGGAAGAGAACCCCGAAGAAACCCACTCCGAAGAAATGGGTAGGGGAGAAATGAGGTGAGAGAAGGGATTGAAATGAAAAGGGGCCAGGTCCTCTGCTGGTGTAAAATACACACAACCCATTTTGCTGATTATTAATATTTATGACTTGTGTTGCAAGAGCAATAAAGAGCCCCAGTCATGGGCCCAGCCCCCTTGTGCTAGGTGCTGCACACAACACAAAGATGGTGCTTAGCCCTTAGACCATCCTGCTGATTTGCACCAGCTAATGATTGGCCCCTGGCAGAGCTTAACAGATAACACAGACAGGGGGAGGGGGGCAGACACAGCCACCCATGGAGGGTACTTGTGCTTTGGCTGCAGGACTAGTGATTGAGCAAAGCTCCTTCCCCTGACCTTTCAGTGCTCAGCGGCTGCTTAACCTCAGGCACGGCCATTAACCTGACCCGATGGGAAATTAATATTCCCCAAATTGCCAGAGAGCTGCTAGCTCCGGCTTATTTTCTTTCCATCTGGCCAGGGTGGAGGAGAGTCTGTCCTCCGCTAGCTGTTCAGCTGCTCTTTCTTCCCCCCCCCTCTGTTTCCCATTCGTTTGCTCTTTCTCTCTCTCCTTCTTGCCCCTTCTCCTCCTCCTCTGCCTGTGTGTCCCTCTCTCTCCCCTTCTGTCTTTTTTGTTCATATATATTTAGTATTTATTTACAAGCTTGATTTTTTTTCCCCTCTGAGTGAAGCCAGGCATGCACAGAAATCCTTAAGATGCTATAAAGCCGCTGAGGTATAAAATGGAAAGTGCTTAGCCTGCCTGTACAGAAATATCTCACTGAGCTGCACTGGAAGCCACCGAAGCCGGGCACTGTAAATCTCATAGAGTTTAGCTTGTTTGTTTACACCATGACGAGGATCTAAAGAGGGAGAGAGAGAGAGACGCTCTCTGTTCCCCCCGTCAGGCCACTGCACACATCCCCTCCCCAAACCATTTGTTGGGCCGCACAAGCACAACACCTTTGCGAATGGCAGCGGCAGGAGGCCAATGGCTCTGCTCCCAAGCTCGTTTGTAAACGAGAGAACCAGCCCTTCGTGTTAAGGATGGGTTCTGCCTCTTGTCCCACCATCATCGTTCCAAGCCAGGCCTCTGGGGGCTGGCAGGGCCACAAGGTGGGGGGATTTTCCTTTCCTTTTTGGCATTCAGTAGACTCTCCTCTTGTCCTGAGGCTCCCAAGGTTACTGACATGGATTCAGTTCAGGAAGTGCTCTGTGACCAGTCCTGGTTTCAGCTTAAAGTTGCCATCTAGTCATTTTTTACCCAGATAGTGCAGGAGTTGAGGATCTTTGTCTGCAGTTTGGTTGGACACCTGACCCAGATGTCCGATGTCTGGAAACTGGACCTTTATGAAGTGCAAGGGTGCCAAGCTGGGTATGGTGCCCCAGGAACAGGTATGGCCCAGGGCAATGGGGTTGGATGAGAAATTCATGGGATACAAGGGGGTTTCAAAATGGGGGACCCAGCCTGGTTCCCTCCATCTTTCTATGACTAGCAGCCCATAAATCATAATGCCATCTCTAAGGCAGATGTCAGGGAATGGCTTCAGCAAAAAGTGGTAGCCCTACCTCAGCCACCTTCTGGCTAAAGCTAAGGTCTTACCAGAAACAATGGGCCAAAGCACCTTTGGGCTTCTTCAAAGGAATACCAGATTCGGATTCAAACTCCTCTGATGTTGGAGAACTGCAGATCTGAACCTGTATGCCAGTGCCATGAAATACAGTTCTGGATTCAACCTTCATAGCCCTGGCTCATTTCTGGAAAAGGGCTGGCCCAGAACCCTAGACCTGGATCCTTCCCATGACTTCTAATGGGACTCTGGTTTGCACACTGATTTGATCTAAGGGCAAGCCCAACTATGTACATTTGGAGTCAGCGTGAGGCTGGGGAATCTGCAAGGCAGAGGGATCTAGTTGCCATTTTTATGAAGCCCTTTGCTGGTGGGGCACAGTATAGTCCAGACACCTTCACTCTTAAACTAGGATTTTCATAGGAGCCAGGAAGGGCAAAGAGGGAGAAACTATAATGTGTGTTGTTCTTCAACACAATCACAAAGTTCTGACTGCTACAGTTTCCTGAAAGCACTGGGTATTGGCCACCGCTAGAGAGGGGAGATGGGGGATGGAAAGACCTCTGAGATGCTTGGCTGGGAGGCCTTGCTCACACACTCGGGGTTAATCCTATGACCAGATCTGGGATCGGGAAGGACCTTTTTCCCCAAGTCAGGACCTGTTGGGTGTTTTTTACCACCTTCTGTACTGTGAAGCTTTGTTCACATCCAGGATCATTGGACATATTATACCTAATGAATTCCCAGCTGTGCTGGGCCTCATGGCTTTGGGGGCACCATGGTTTTCCTGTTCTCTTCCCGTACCTTTTGATGCCTTTGGGCTCCTTTTGTATGAAAGGTCTTAAGTTTGTTATAGGATGCTAGGAGTTGTTCTGTGTGGTTTGTGATGTGCATCTGGAGAGAAGGGGATGGAGCGGATGTCTGCAACCATTGCTCCTATGTTCTCTGTGCCGAACAGCCATTTTCATGCTAAACAAATAATGAATGTAGCAACTGCTCCATCCCACACTTTACTGAGGGGAAACAGACACAGCAAGATGAAGTCAAGTAGCATTGGTCACACAGGAGTTTTTGACAGAGTTGGGAATTAAATGTAGACTTCTGTGTCCCAGATATTGCTACAGGAAAACTGTTCTTCTCAATTTCGTGGTATGAGGCACTGAGGCCAACACTTGGCGGCTGTCATGAGAGCTCATGTGAGCTGCGCTGAGTAGAAAAGTGGTCCTGGGCCTGTTTTCCCCTAGCCACCAACCACCAAGAGAGGTGAAACCCAACAACATATATATTTGGGTCCCACACCAAAGAACCATGGAATCTACCCAAAATCTACCTAACCACAGGTCACCACAGGGCCTTCTTCATCTGTATAAACAGTTTCTGTGAACTTGGTTGGTCTGGTAGGTCAACCATAAAGGCAAGCTGAGCTAGTCCTTGCCATAGGTTGTTGTACCCTATGGAAAAAGACATGAGCAACAATTTTCAGACATCCCTTGAGCCATCTTCACCCCCACTTTTCCCCAAACAATTGGGACCTATAACTCAAATGATCTAATCGCTTCCCTAGAACAGGGATGTGCATACATCACAAGTTGAATACAGGGAGCAATAGCTGGGAAAGCTCCAAATGTGAGACATGGAAATCATTTCAGTGCCATCACCAAAAAACATAAGGGAGGGAAATACTGACTACCCAAATATCAGTCAGATCTGGATAAATTCTCATTTGTATGGACTGTTTAGATGTAACTATGGGCTACAGAGTTGTAAAAAGAGAGTGTCTGTCTATCCATATACCTACCTACCTTCCTTCCTTCCTAATGCACCTACCAGCATGTCTGCTATCTTCTCCTTTGCCATGTAGGTCTCTCCAAATAAATAACTACCAGTAGTTGTTGAGTCAACCTCTCCTGGGCTATATGAGAAGACCTGTTCCACTCATAATGCAAGGCAAAATGGAACTGGAGTGACACTTGAGAATCATCACCCAAGGGTGCAAGCCTTTTATCAAAGCAGCATTTCTGATGACAGTCAGGGTGCAAGAGTGCTCGCTGCTGGAACACAATGGCCAGCCACACAAATAGCCCTCTTGTACCAGTGTGGGAGAACACAATGCCAAACCCAAGCTCAAATGACAGCATTGCACCAATGCACCCTGGCAGGAATGGCTGCCAATGGAATTAATCAGGGAGGATTCTTCTTATCCTAATTTACCCCCCACCCTGCATGAGCATATCAGGAAGAACTTCCTATCACCTTCAGAGAAGAAGCAAGTCCCACCACAAGAATAAAGACCTCACACACAGCAAGGAGATATTAGCCTTGAAACCTCCCTTCCCACATCTTTTGCTGAAAGCTCCTTCTTTTTTTCTTCCAACTGTTTCTTGGCCTCCTCTTTAAGGGGGCATGGAGGGGCCTGGAGTGAGGGTCCCCGTAGCATTAGGAGCAGGCCCTGAGACAGCTGCAGTGAAAGGGATGCTGCAATTCTAAATGCCCTGTGCGCTCTACATATTGTGGAAAAAGCTGTTGCATTCATCAATGTCAGGCGCAGAGTTTGAATAAATTTGAATGCACTCAAGCGTGCTCCCTGCAGTTTTCTATAATATCACTTTCCAGTTTGAATATTTCACTTACTTTTTTCAAATTTCTTTTTATCCACCAGTTTTTCCTCCTTTTCATCCTCACCTCCCCCACTGCTCCCCAGCCCTTCCATGTGCACAACATAGGCCTCCCAGCATGCAAGGCTGAGCCGTGAGCTTCCTCTCAGCAGTGCTGGGGGGATGGCAGACAGCCATTAAGCAGGAGTGTCCTCCCAGCTTGTGGGGGGAAGGGGGTCAAAGAAGTGTGAGCTTCTGCCTCCTGTGAGAATAAACCCCCAAACTGTGGGTTCAGGATTTTGCTGGGAGCAGAAGTGAGCACTCTCTGGGCACTGGATGCGGCATGACATGGCTTATTAGAAATTCTGAATCTTACACCTACCAAAAATACGGGCCCAAGACTTTGGCTTGGAGAACCATGAGGTTCAACAGAGTAGTGGGACATGGTTGTTAGTAAGTATGACCATGGATGGCTCAGGAATATATTCTAGTGGTTAGTCTCTGGGGCTGAAATCACCCTGGCTTCACATGGCTTTATTCCTGATTTAAACCTGTGTGAATTAGCTCAGAAGCAGGCTAGTCTTCTCTGTGTGCTAGCCCATTGGCTCTCTGTGCAGCCATGGGCAAACCTGCTGACTTGTGTGCCTCAGTTTTCCCTATTATACTAGTGAGAGGATTCATCAGTTCTTTGTGATGCTTTCATAAAGGGAGGTAGCTGGGCATTATCAAATACTCTGTGCATCTGCCCATGAGAAAAAGCCACTGGTTTTAACCCTTCCTTGCCATGACATTCTGGCACATCTGGCTTAGTTTCCTTATACCTTTATGGGTGAACAGAAACAGCTTGCAAATATCATGACTCCAATATTCAAGTGCCTGATGTTATAGCTCCTTGTCCAGGCCTTCTGTATCCCAAGGGGGGCATATGCTGGGGGAGAGCTGGGGGCAGCAGGGAATGAATGGGTCCTGCTGCTTGTATTGAGAATTCACTTCTCTCCCTTGTAGTGAAAACGATATGATCTTGTGACTAACCACTTTCCCCTTTCACTGTTTTTGATTTATATCCCATTACTTTGCCTGCTTGTGCCTTGCAGACATGAATTTTTTCCCTGACATCTCCTATGCAGCAGCCACGTCAAAACCTTTGATAAAATAATAGTGGTAAGACGTTTGCATGGCTGTTTTTATGTTTCTGGGGATATAGACATCAATTAAAACTCTTCATACAATCTGATCCGGCGTTATTAAAGGCATTAATACTGGCACGCCCCTCAGATTAGGGGCTGCTCACTGGGTGATGTAGAAAAGCCAGTAACATTGTCCGCACATGTCCCCTTTCTGCTTAGCTCCCAGAGGAGCATGGCTCAGAATGCAACTGACACAGGCAATTTAAAGCCACCTTTGGCAAGAGGATTGTGCGGCACCAAACTGGAGTAGGGTAGAGCAGAAAAAAGGGTCACTGGCACCAGCAAAGTGCTGCATGGTTTTATCAGCTTTATTGTTGTTTGTATGTGACCTTGAAGAATAATAATAATAATAGCTCTATCACTGACCTGCTGTGAGACTACAAATAATAGCATCACTGTTATTATTAGATATGTGTACTGTTGCAAACAAGATCAGGGCCCTGTTGTACTGGACACAGGATGTATCCGTAGGAGGAGGCAGTCCCTACATTAAAGAGCTCCAAATCTAAATAGACAAGACAGCCAAATAAATGAGACAGGGAACAGCAGTATAGAGAAGTAACTTGACCAAGGCCATGTAACCGGTCAGTGGCAGAAACAGAAATAACACCCACTATTCAGCGCTTCTGTAGTGTTTTCTATCCAAAGATCATGGGCCATTTTACATATTAAGGTAAGTCTCCTTTCCTTCTTTACAGAGAAGGAGGGACATAGTGGAAGTTGCTGTGCCATGTCATGTGTGTTATAGCTGACCATATGGAAATCCTGGAAATGCAGGACATCATTTGGGAAATCCAGGACACTTCCCGCCTTCCTCCCCACACTCTCACAGGTAGGTGGGGGTGGGGCTGCATGCCAGGCAGGCAATGGTGCCTGCCTGCCCATCTGCAAAGTGCTCTGTACTGCTCTGGCTCCCAGCCAGACTGCACCCCATGCCACTGCATTTCCAGGATGCCCATTATAATTCATACCAGCTGGCCAGGACCAGCCTCTGAAATCCGGGACTGTCCCAGCTAAACCAGGACATACGCTTACTTTAGTTATTTTCCACAGCAAGCACCTGACTGCAGGAAGGACTCAGGCTGTGGGGACTAAAGGAACCCATTGATGGAAATGGTTGGCACCACTGTGTGTTTTTCCCCTGCAAGCGGGAACCATGCTTTTCTTGATTAGCTTCTTCCCAGATAAAGGCACGAAAGAAAGAACAAATATCAGCCTCCCTGAAAGAAAGACTAAGTCTCATGCTACATTCAAGGGAGAATGCCAAATGGAGAATGCCAAATGGCAGTTGATTTATAACACCCCCTGGCAGCAGGTAGAGAGGTAGCTTCACATTCCCTTCATAGAAGAAAGAATAACATATCCTTTCAGTTCGCTGGGGCTCTGGGAGTACTGCACACTAACCCAGTGTAACTTACCTTGTCTTTGTACACTATGTACATCCCTGCGGTGGGCACTGTTATGGTGCTTTGCCACGAGGTGGCAGGTAAGGGGGTAATAGCTTGTTGAGGTAATGGCTACTGCAGGATGGAAGTAGACACCCTGCACGCTCAATGGCATGACCAATACCACTGATTTTTGCCCAGGGTAAAACTACACTGGATTCTAGTAAGTGACACTGGTGCTACACATCATGTGTCTGCTCCCCTTTTATATCATCACAAAGGCCTGTTGTGTGTCTAGCCTAATGGTACTCAGCTGTTTTAGACTCAAGTCACCCCTCCTTCATTAGATTCAAGGCACCCCTTTTTGGACTTAAGGTGTCCCTGGGAACATGGCAGCTCTCAGCTGTTACTGTTTTTTGACTACAGGAAAATAATGGAGTAATTCTTCTGTTGCAAAGAACCCAAAAAAACCCACAACAGGTCAGAATGGTTTTGACACTATGATTCCTATTGGAAATCCCTGGAGTTATTTTATGAATTGTGTGGGTGCTTACACCCCTAACAGTGTTAATATTACACAGGACCCTTAAAAAATTCTCACAGCACCTCAGGCTGCCCTGGCACTCTGGCTGAGAAAGACTGATCTAGACTTTTAAGCCTAAAGACTATAGTTGTGTGGAACTCATTCATATTTTATAAGAGACTTTCCTGGGCCAGTGGAAGTGGAAGCAGGTAAAATCTATGCTGCTGCTAGACTCCACTTGGTAAGGTAAGGTAGAATACTCATCTCTCCTAGGGCAACGTACACTCCCATTCAGACTGACTCAGGAGAGCTTTTCATTTATCGTACTCAATAGCATCTCTAATTGTGGAAAGCTGGAACTGGAATAGTTGCAAATAATTTGATATCTTGTGCCCATACCTCATTTTCTCACAATGCCTCCTGCTGGTTGGGAGTTGGGATTAGAAATAGCTAAAACCCTACCCTTTCTCTACAGGACCTCCCCTAAGCCAGCACTCTTGCTCCATGCCCTGCAGCACCTTCTCCTGGGAGAGACTGGCAATGCCACAGCTGTGAGCATCCTGTAGCTAACATTCTTGCACCAGTGCTGTCAGGAGAGGCTGGGATTGGTGTGAAAAGCCAGTCTACGGAAGGAAATCTTCTTTCCCTCATGTCTCTGCCTCTCTCTTCAGCCTAACAATGAGATCTAGGAAACCTCATTTAATACACAATGCTTTTCAACTGCTGCTGTCTCCACTGGGTTTACATTATTTTATGCATTCTTTCCCCCCCTAGCAGTGAGAGTAAATGGTACTTTTCCTGTTCTGAGTCTCAAATGAGAAAGGACAGTCAATATACCCTGAGAATCTCAGCAGAACCATCCCCAGTGGCCACCCTTCAGTGTCAGCCATTCTGATTTCAACATTTTTTTTCTTGCCCTGGAGTCAGGCTTTACCAAGCTAGCCATCACGTCATGCACCTTCCAGCCCAGCCATCACCTTACAGAAACCCTGTGTACTAAGGCAGCCTTGTGAGAGGAGGGGTCTCTGGGGTAGAACTGCTTGAATCAGACCAGGGGTTCCCTGGAATGGGTATATTATATGGGGAATATAAGCTTAGGAGGCACCTCCTGCTCCTGTTCTGCTCAGAGAGATGGAACCAGAGGTGAAGAGGAGAATAATATACTGTATCCCACCTGGTACCACCAGGATGAGAGGGGCCAGGAACCTGGCAGACTTCCACTTCCATTTTGAATAACTTCCAGAAGCAAAGGGGATATTCAGGCCACAGTCTTTCCCCAAGTAACCTCACCAAGAATCCTTCTACCAGCATGGGACCAGTAAATCACAGCTCCCCACATCAGCTATTCATCCACCCTGTGCTCACAGCCTGTCCATGAGGCAGGCAATAGCTGAGAAACCTCCTTCTGAGCCCTTTTCTGACAGACAGCCTGGATGGGGGGGCAGTGGAGAGATGTTGGCTGCAGTTGAAAGAGAGGGGTGTATGAATCCCACATTTTGGCGTCTATTTTTAAGCATCGGTTTCTGCTGCCCAAGGGGAGCTGGGGGAAGCATGCGTGTCTCTGCTGCACAGCAGCCCTGACTGGGTAACGGTGCAGAACGTAAAGTGTTGTCTATTAGGTAGGAGACTGGTTAATACAAAGAGTTGTTGGTAATAACAATGTCCTTTCAGCGGTGACAGAGACAAAGCACCTGCATGTGGCGTGTACCACTGCGTGCAGCGAGTGATGGTCGCAGGGAAGCTTTGGAGAGCATTTGAATTTCACATCCAGGGAGAGTCGGCCTATCATTAAAAAACCCTAATTTCAGTGTCAGGTGGAGTTCCAGGTAATCGATCATGGTGTCAGCTGGCACAGGCTCTTCCCTGCCTCTTCGCCTTGCCTCCAA